CTGCCAATCTCTGACTCTCACGGATCAACTAGGGTGGGATAAGCTCAGCAAGCCATCCACAATGCCCACCGTAGCTCCTGACACTCTGCCTGTCCGACATACTTTATATGAATATTATCTGTGTTAATATCTAGTTTTAAACACCCCGAGGGTCATAAATAGTTCTTTGACACTGTAAACACGACATACATATTTGTTGGCTGAATAATTGAAATGAATTCACTCTTTAAATAATCCACCATGGAGAAACCAAAGCAATTACTTCTTTCAGGATGCTCTGGCCAAGACAGTAACAGCAATTCAAAAACAGGATGCCAGGGCCAGGGGTGTAGCTCAGCTGTAGAGCACTTGCTTAGCATGAGCAAGGCCCTGAGTTCAACTCCCAGCTTCATTGACATACAAACAAACAAAAACCCCAGCACGGCAAGAAAGGGACCCAGGGTCCACATAAAGGACTGCAGGAGCTTTACTAATAGTACTGTTTCCCAACCTTTGAAAAGAACATGTGTCCACAAAGTGTCCTCTTTGAAATGAGGTAGAGATGAGCTTGCATACTCAGAAGAGGCAGGGAGGGTATGGCTGGGGCCAGCAGTGTACATGCCACTGAAAAGTGGCCCCGGAGCCCTCCTTAGGGAGGATGCTCACCCTTGGACTCCTGTTGTCCACCAGCCCTGGTCCTAAATGCACTCTCAATTTAGTTCCGTAATTTCTGTTTTTCTTTTTTGTGGCATAGGGGGTTGAACCAAGGGCGAAAACCACTGAGCAACATCGCCCACCCTTTTTATATTTTATTTAGGGACAGGGTCTCACTGAGTTACTTAAGGCCTCTCTAAATTCCTGAGGCTGGCTTTCAACTAGAGATCTTCCTGCCTCAGTCTCCTGAACCACTGGGATTACAGGCATGCACCACTGTAATTTCTGTCTTCACTAATCCACAGAGTTTATCCATCGTCAGAGTTCAGGGGAGTAATAACAAGTTTTTAAAGGGAGGAAGCATAGGAAATTAGGTGGGATGGGCCTAGTGATGTACAGTTTCTCTTTGGGTTTCTTTTGAAAGAAAAGATAACAGAGTTCCCAAAATAAAAACCTAAAGCAACAGAGGTCAATAAGCACAAAATATTTTTCAGGGTACCTAGAATTCCTTTTATCTGTAGATGATAACTTTGCACCTTCTCATCCAGTCTAAGAGACATTTAAAAGCAAAAGGGCAGAAATTAAAACAGGACTATCATTCCTCAAATTGGTTTTATTGAATTTAATAAGAAATTATAATCACCAGTGAATAAAAAAATAACAAATGTCTTTTTAGATTTTAATGTGACATTCAAATTTTTAACCCACAAGTCTGAGAGGATACAAAATACTGGGGTGCCGTAGGAAAACAGCAGCAGTAACAGGAAGGGAGTTTCATTATGATCTGCTAATTAATATAGCAATGCACAATAACAACAGGTCAGCGAGAACAGGATTCTAATCAAGTCTGGGCCTGTGTGGAACAGCCAGGAATGCTTCAAACACGGGAGAAAGAAAAATGCCAAACATCATATTAAAATATCTCCCTGGGCACAGTTTGCTTTCCAAAAAAACAAAACAAAAAAGCTGGTGGACAATTTTGTGCCAGCATTTTTTTTTTCTCTTTTCTACATTATGCCAATCACAAAACTAATCCAGACAGGAAAACCTGTCCTCAAGGAGAGGAGAACAGGCAAAGGGGAAGCTATGATTCTTTTTATCCATGCAAATTAGGTGAGTATTTAAAAGCCAGGAGAAGTGGCTCACACCTATAATTCTAGCAGCTCCTGAGGCTGAGGCAGGAGGATCGAAAGTTCAAAGCCAGCCTCAGCAAAAGTGAGGTGGTAAGCAACACAATGAGACCCTGTCTCTAAATAAAATACAAAAAAAGGGCTGGGGATGTGGCTCAGTGGTTGAGTGCCCCTGAGTTCAATCCCTGGAAGGAAAGAAGGGAGGGAGGAAGGAAGAAAGAAAAGAAAAGAAAAGAAAAGAGAAAGAAGGTTAGTATTTGGACTCAGAATTAATTTTGAGGAAAGCAGAGTGGTTGTCATCCATTGATGACAAACAAATTGGTTTGTTTTGAAATTCACAGACTTCTGATATTGTATCAGTTCTATTTTCTTCATTATCTTAAAAAATTTTCATGGGTGTGTTCTAACATAGAACTCAATGATTTGGCATTTACTAATACTGCCATTTGACCAACAGAAGTTTTCTTCTTGGAGTGAGATATTGCATGTGAAAAGGATATGTCAAAGTTATTAACCAGCTGGAACATTAACTGTCAGGAATCTGGTCCTTCCATATGGAAAATACACTTACTATCACTATGCAACAGTTGGCTTAGGGACACATTACGTGTGCTGCTCCCAAATATATTTGAGAAAATAACAGAAGCAGGAAGGTCACTCTGACCTTACCTTGCCTTCTCCCCTATAGGTCTTACAAAACTAGGAGGGATTGTGTGAACTGCCCCTTGAAGCAGGAGACAGGATCCTAAGACATCTGAAACCATGAGCCCCAAATAAACTTTCCTCTTCTATAATTGTTCTGGTCAGATCTTTTAGTCACAGCAGCGTACTAAAACACAGCCTTTAGCTCTGAAGACAGGGACACAGAGGAATCTGAACAAACTGGCCTCACTAGCTCTCCCCCAATTTACCACCATTCCATGTGTTCCCATTGTCTAATTACATCTCTCCATGACTACCCACTTCCTCATTACCCTGCATAAAATGTACACATTTACCCTTTTTCATCATGTCTTTATTTCCTTATGAAGCTTCTCTTATTGGGCTCAGTTGGTAGAGTGCTTGCTTTGGATACACAAAACCCTGGGTTTGATTCCCAGCACTGCCAAAAAAAAAAAGGTTCTCTTGTCATGCAGAACTTATCTTAAATAAATTTGTACTTTTTTCTCTTGTTAATCTGCCTTTTGCTTCAGGAGCCTTAGCCATGCACATGGGGATGAGTGAGGAAAACATACTTACTTTTCCATATAGCAATAAGTATTTTGTAGGTTCTCTAATCTATTAATTCTAGAAAGATACTCTGAATGAAATCATTCAGTAGAGATGACACTTACAGTCATGAAATGATTCAGTATCATATGTCTTAAAACAATAGAAACTGGAATAGACTAACTGTTCAATCATAAAGGAAAAAGGAAGTAGTTACGTAATAGAGAATGAGAGGCTGCTTTTACTAAGAAGCACTGACTCTTGGGCTTAAAGATGTCTGATGGGTAACTAAAGAGGCAAAAACAAAAACAAACATACTAAAAACTTGGCATCTCAGCCTTCTTCTTTTTTTTTTTTTTTTTTTTTTTTTTTTTTTGGTATCAAGAATTGAATGAGCCAAATCCCCAGCCCTTTTTTTTGTATTTTTTTTTTTAGAGCCAGGGTCTCACTGAGTTGCCTAGTGCCTTGCTTTTGCTGAGGCTGGCTTTGAACTTACAATCCTCCTGCATCAGCCTCCCTAGCCTCTGGGATCACAGGCATGCACCACCACGCCCAGCTCTGTCTTCATTTTGTATCTGTCTCCTTTCTACCTTAATCTTTGGGTCAGATTCCTGCTCAGGTATGGAACAGATATATTAACCATTTAAGGAGTGTCTGCCTAAAGACTAGCGATACAAGGATGATTAGTTCTAGTTTCACCTAACTTCTCTTGTGCCACTTCACTAAGATAAAAGCAAGACATCTTCAAGATTCCAGGAACAGTGAGCCTTACAAGCCGATCACCCCATGATGGAACCGTCCCCCACAAATAGAAGCAATTACCCCCCAATACAAACTGCAGCTATCCCCCAGAGCAGAAGCAGCCATCTCGTCCCACAAGGGATTAATGACATCACCAGAGTCTTTAGGACTTCTCAGAACCAGACCTGAATTGATGGTCGGTCAATCAGACCACACTTTGACCAAGGCGGCTTACCTGTGCAAACTTCTTGCCCCACACTCTTGTTTCTGTCCACATTTAAAACTGCAACTCTTGTCAGTACCCCTGGAGGACAGGGCTGAGGACACTTGGTCTCCCCTTGTTTCCCCAGTATGGATATACTGAAAAAATTCCTTCCCTGCTTTTCACCTTTTCCATTTGATTTTTGGAGTGAGTGCCCAGATCTGATCTACTGGGACTCCCTGAAATGAAGACCCCCTCTGGCCTAGGACATCAGTCACAATTAAGTAAGTGTAGGTTTATCAATGAAGTGAAACGTTACCCAACTATTACAAATTAAAATGATGTACAGTATGTAGTACAATGCAAAATTATTAGGTCGCCCAGTAAAAGACTCTATAGATACAGTTGGAAAATACCTAAAATTTTCTCAATATACAGAAAAGCAAATCGATGAGGTGCCCTTCATCAGTGTGTGAACTCTTACCTACTCACCATATCTTTACAGTGGCACCTATTCCTACTGATGGGGAGGGTCTCTGTAGTCTCCCATTGAGCTTTTCTCATCTCTTCTTGTCCCTTTGCTGTACTGTTCCTTTGTTTAACTGCTAAGTGCTCTGTCTACTCCTGAGAAGCCACAGACTCACCTCATCCAAGACCTGTCTCCATTCTCGCCTCTTTCAGAAAGTGGTCTATTACCTCGAACTGAAATTGCTTCGGATTCCTCGGCCCTCATTGTCATTTCCTTGATTGTTCTGTTTGCTTTGTCTTCTCAGCAAGACTGTGGAATTCCACAGTTGTTCTCAGCCCATGAGTAAATACTGGATTTTGAATGAATTGATCAATGAATATTAAACTCTTGAAAGCAGGGCCATTTCTTATCCTTGCATCTACAGTACAAATCATTGTGCTGGACAAACAGTAGATTATCACTAAACAAATGGATAAAGGAGTGTACATATATCGTCACGCATGACTACCAGCTGCAATATAGTTTCCTTCTCCATTATTTTTCCACCTTCTGCTTCTAGGAAATATCACGTGAGGTTCTTTTTGTAAAAGAAGTGCCATTCATGAAGAGAACTTACCCAGGTCAAACTGGCCAGAAATGTAGCCACAAGTCTGTCGGACTTCCTCACTGTCCCAGCCCAAGGGGTACAGGGCACAGCCAGCACCAATCAACAAGCCTGCAAAGAGATAAGACAAGAGAGCTTTTACCAGTGCACCTCTGCCTCCCTGGGTAAGAGGAACAAAGGATCAATATTTGCAACATAACAAGACCCAGAGCCTGCATTTGGAAAGCACCATCCTAAACTCCCTTAAACAATCTGAGGTCAGTTTAATTCTAAGAACAATATCAAGTTTGCCTAAAAGAAAAAAAAAAAAAGCCTGACAGCTCAGTTTGGTTCCAACTTGGCCTTTCAAAAGCATTAAAAGCCTTGCAAATCCTGTTTAGGAAATACAATCCACAGCCCTTTTAATCACTCTTGTAAAAAAACCAACCAATTCCACCATTAATCCATGTAAACAAGTAATTTAAGAGCAAGCAAAATTTCTCAGTAGGTTATCCATCATTCTTTCGATTTATTTATTTATTTTTGTTTCCCATGTGAAAATCAAAATAGAATGTTTCAACCTTGTCAAATTTTACCAGGGGCAAAAGAAACAAAAGATTTTCATGAACCACTTCAGCATGTTGATTGAACCTCTGAACTGTACTGCCTGTTTTATGCTCCACTGAGAATGACTGAGCATCTACACCTCTCAGAAATACTTCACGAGAGACAGACACACTGTAATCTGCGTCCTCCTTACAGCAGAAGCCAAAAGGTTTGAGGATTAAACTGAAGAAGGCGATGGCTTGATTCTAATGTAAATTAAGTTATCATGACCACACACTGCGCTGACAGCTTTCGATTAGTGAGTCTTTAATTTTGCATCAAAACCTAATATGATTTTACAAGAACCTGAAGGAGATTTCAACACTCACTATTTGAATCCGTGGGCTCATCTGAAAGTAAGATCTTGTCCTGTCAATCAATGAGCATTCTCATCACCTGTTAGTACCACAAGCTGCTGAGGCAGTAGGATCAAGGCATACTTAGCTGGATGGGTGAGAGAGAGGGTTATCAGGTGCTAAACAGGAGGTACCCATTGGGAAATGCATTAATATGGTAATGTGGAGGAGGAATGGCAAAGCCCTAAGTGCATCTAGAAGAGGAAAGCTTCAATATTTATGTACTGAGTCCTTTCTGTCCTTTCCTGTCTCTCTTTTGTCCTGCTTTCACCTCCCAGAGGGTGACTAAGTATAAATAACCTGTTTCCTCACAGGATCTAAGGTCAGGCGACTTTCCAGCTCCTCCCCAGGCACCATGCTGAGACCTAAGGAGAGACATCTCCCAAGTACTGGCACTCATTTTCCTACCCTGGCATCCTTCCCCTCAGCCTGCCCCTTGGTGCACAGGAAAATGACCATCAAATACAGAGCTGCTTCCATCAGAGGGAGTGCCCAGAATCACTGTAACTGCAAATCACAAATCATGTCCTAGGTACAACTGTGTAAGGATGAATTGTGTTGAAGGTGAAGAACAATCCAGAAAGCAGTATTATATGTGGTTTTGCTGACTAGGCTGTTTTCCTCAGTGATTTTTCTTTCCCCCCATGAAATAGAATTTACAGTATTCTGAAGACAAATCCTAATTAGTTTTATCCATCATCAGGTAAAGAGGTAATTAATGAGGATGCCAAACTTTGTATAAATTGAAATTTATGCATGTTCAATAAACAATGTGGTACCATTTTCAAGATACTTGGTTCTGAAATTAACAGAAAACACACCCTCTTTTTGAGATCTTTTGAGTATTTTTTTTTCTATTTTAAATTGTTTATTTAAATTTTCCAGCAAATGGATGGATCTGGAGACTATTGTGCTATGTGAAGTAAGCCAGTTTCCAAAACCAAAGGTTGAATGTTTTCTCTGATATGTGGAAGGTAACACTCAATAAGGGGGGTGGGAAGGGAAGAATAGAAGTACAGTAGATTAAACAATGGGGAATGGAGGGAAGGGAGAGGGGAGAGGCTAAGGAAAGACAGTGGAATCAATCTGACATAATTTTCCCATGTACATATATGAAAACAACACAATGATTCCCACAATCATGTACATCCATAAGAATGGGGTTCTAACTAGAAAAAGATATAATCCATGATTGTATGGTTATGTCAAAATGGATCCTGCTTTCATGTATAACTAAAAAGAACCAATAAATAAGAAGGTAGGGGGCTGGGGATGTAGCTCAGTGGTAGAGCACTTGCCTAGCATGCATGAGGCACTGGGTTCTATCCTTAGCACTGTATAAAAATAAACAAAAGAATTCTGTCTATTTATAATTACAAAAAATTAAAAGCAAACAAAAAACAGAGGGTAGTAGAAAGAAGAAAGGTAGAAATAAAATATAGGACAATGAATTGAAACAGAAATAGGACGTTGGCACCCCACAACTATATCATTTAAGTGTAAGAAAAAGTGCTGAGTTATCATTTTATTTTATAAAACGTTACAAACATTTACACTTAAATGAGTTTAGTTGTCAAAAAACATGTTACTTTTTCCTTAGTCAAATTCTAAATCATGCACTGATACATCATCAGATTATTTTCTTCACTTCTTTGATTACATACATCTATGTCCCTCTCACACCCCACTTCTCACAAACCCTGAAAGGCCTACGGAAGGATTCCTCTGTTCTGCTTCTTTAAGGACAAAAGTAGAAAGGTATTTGGAATCAGTAGAAAGTAAATATTTAACTGTAAGAAAAAATGAAAAATAGTAACATTTAAGCCTTTAGTAGTGAAACAAATGATAGTCTGATTTGCTAAGGTTTCTTTTTCCTTTCTTTCTTTTCTTTTTTTTTTGGTATGCCTGAAAAATAGGTGTCATGAAATCACAAAAACCTACATTGGTCCAGTTTTATGCTGGCCATTTTGGGACACCAAATAGAAAGGAGCTTATAAACTCCTATATGTATAGCAAGTGGGCCAGAGGTTCAGAAAGTGGCAGAAGACCTGGCAATTGAGGATCTTTTGTTAAAACACTGGACTATCTTTGTGATGCTATCAAATGTAGCTTCAACTGTATAAATTAGGAGTAATTTTATACACAGCAAGTTTGTGTTATGTGTATGATTTTTTAAAAAAAAAAACATTTATTTTTTAGTTGTAGGTGCACATAATACCTTTATTTTATTTTATTTTGAAAAACATTTATTTATCTTTAGGTGGTACTGAGGATTGAACCCAGTGCCTCACGCATACTAGGCAAGCGCTCTTCCTCTGAGCCACAACCCCAGCCCCTGTGTATGAGTTTTTAAATACCATGAACCATTTTTTAAAATGTTGTTTCATAGAAGGCAACTCGTCATCTGAATTTTTATATTAATATTTATGTAGTCTTTGTTCTGTTCTCTGCTACTGCTTGCTAACAGGAAAAATACCACAGACTAAAGATTTGGGAAACATTTCTGTGAGATAAGTGTATGTTGCAAACAGGCTAATTAGCTGTCACAATTATTCGGGTCTGTAGGTAAACATCAGCAGCACCTCCACCAGGTACATTGTTTGCAGGGTGAGAGTGCATCTCAGGCGGGCTCTGGAGACCGAGAAAGAAGGATTGCAAGTTCAAAGCCAGCCTCAGCAATGGGGAGGCACTAAGCAACTCAGTGAGACACTCTCTCTACATAAAATACAAAATAAGGCTGAGGATGTAGCTTAGTGGTTGAGTGCCCGAGTTCAATCCCCAGTACCAAAAACAAAAAACAAAAAAACATTCCTTGGGAGAGTGTGTCTCAGACTGAATGCCACCAAATACGCAACTGATGTTTAACAGGCAGTGAGTATCACAAGCAGTTGGGAAACCAACTGCATAAACTCAGGGAAATCCTGCCTCCCCCAATCACATAGTCACCCTAACAAGTACCTCATGAGAAATTCTTGACACACCATGAACCCAACAAATACCAGAGAGCAGGATCAGGGAAATTCAGGTCCAATCAGGGAACAGTGTCTTCCATGAAATGGAAGAGAAGAGGGGTCAGGCGGAGGAAAAATATGGGTTCTCACCTGCTTGTCCAAAGCAGCAGCCTTGAGCTACATGTAGATAGTTAAAAATTTAAGTTTATTTAAATTAAATAAAACTCAAAATTCCATCCCTCAGAGGCACTAGCCACATTTCAAGTGTTCAATAGCCATACATAGGGTGCTAGTGGACAGCACAAGTACACACCATTTTGGTAACCACAGGAGGTTGCACTGGGGAGGGCTGTTGTGGACCTCAGTCATTCCTGGAAAGGATGCTGGGCTTGTCAGATTCTTGTCCTGGGCCTGAGATTGCTTGTTAAGAGTCAAATCTTAACCAGGCACATTGGCGCATGCCTGTAATTCCAGCGGCTCAGGAGGCTGAGGCAGGAGAATCACCAGTTTAAAGCCAGCCTCAGCAATTTAGCAAGGCCCTAAGAAACTCAGCGAGACCCTGTCTCTAAATAGGGATATAGCTTAGTGATTAAGTGGCCCTGGGTTAAAAAATAAAAATAAAAATCAAAGTCTCCCTAGTCTTAGCTTCTTGCTTTCAAGGTAGGACTAGAGGCTATGAAACTGTTTGGGGAACTCTTCTGCTGGCAGGAGTTTTGTCACACTGTGTCAAGGAGAAGCTGATGTGTGGGACTGAGAAGCTAAAAGGGAAGGATGAACTGTTGTCCCCACTGGCAGCTGCAGCCTGGGGCAGTCTTTCTGCAGATGTAGATGGGATATTTGGGGACTGGCTTCCAGACTCCTCCTCATCACCCACCGCAGAGCAGAGAATCCACGGCCTGGTTTCCTGAATTCTTCAAAGCAGCTTCTCTGCTTCACTTTCCCAGATCTTCAAATTCATGGGCTGCATCTCCTCCTATTTGAGTTATCTAGTGCTTTATTTTACTGCTCGAACCTGACTGGTATATATACTCTACTCCTGTAAGGGCAGAGGGGCCAATATAGATCTTTACTATATGATCATATTCCCTGAACATTATTCATAGCCTCGATTAAAAATTATCTCCAATACAATTTATGCTAATTATTAAGTCTCTTGGGCAAGAACAGACAGTGATATTCAAAGGCTCTGCCTTTAATATCCTGTGGTATCCTCTCTGGT